TTTGTTCAAGGCTTCTTAGGCAGTTAGGAAAAGTCAGCCAACTCCACAACCTCCCTATTTACCATTGCCCCACACGGTTCAAGTGCTGGAGCTGTGGCATCACCCAGTACTCACCCTGCTCTTCTGTCCACCCCAATCACCTCTCACATGATTTAGTAATTGTGATGCTAGGGACTCCAGAGACTATTGCCCCCTCTAATAATCAGAAATGGAGTGATGATCTGTGATAGACCAGTTCCAGAATCCCATCCTGAGTACTTTCTAGAACCACTTCGTGTACCAAATGTCTTAGTTTAAGTTCCCCTAGTAGGAAAGCCTGTGACAAGGGTGAGAGTGCAGCTATTTTTTGAGAGATGACCACAGGAGAAGGAGGAAGCAGAGAAATTGAGGTAGGGAAAGACGAAAAGCCATTATAAGGGCACGTTTTCTAGGATGCTTCTATAATCAACAGCAGCTCAATTCTACTGTGTCTGCTAAGCGGCAGAGAGAATGCCCCCAGAATTATCAAATGGCTCCCTTCCCCTGATGAAGCTGCTAAATTTTCTGCACTTTTAGGCTGCATATGAGCATAGGCTGAAATGGGATCCCACTAAGTTGGATAAGATCTTTCAAGAGAATAACAAAAGATGCAAAGTGCTTGATTAGTTGGGATGCTGGTAGCACAAAAGCAGGCTGAGCTTCATTGGAACTGTCTACCATGGTTAAAACTAAAATAAAAAGTGGTCCAAGTTGTTGTGAAAAGAGCACGTGATATGTCTGCTACGATGTGGCATTAGGGGGACGGAGGAATCTCTTCGCCTGACCTAACCCTCCCCCTCTCCATGTGGAACCTTGTCCTGCTAGCCCCAATGTCCAGATACGACTCCATCAATGAGGTATCTGTGTTAGTGCTTGGAGAGCAGGCAGAGACTCACAGCACATTCTCCTGCATTCTCATGGATGACCTTGCAGATGACACTGGTTACACGTAAAAGAGGACTGCAGGTCTTTTTGCAAACTGTGACCTCGCATTGTACAGAGAGGACCCTTGTCTCCCACCACTGCTCACGGTGCATATTGAAGTCTAGCTAAACTGAACTTGAAATCCTTCCCCAAAGACAGGAGGCAGGGGTTGTGGTTAGCACAGGGCTGGAAGGTGATAGACTTGGGTTTAGATCCTGGCTCTTAACCAACGGTGTATCCTTTGTCAAGTTAAACAAACTGCCCATGCTTTGGCTTCCTCATCCTTAACAAGGGGAAAGCATCTCTTTCCCGAGCGTATCTGAAGGATGACATTTTGGTTTTATGTGTTGATATACATATCGCATGCAATGTGTCTTATACACTGTCTGGTGCATAGTGAATGTTCTGAAAGTTTCCCAGGGGATGGCAGCTTGTAGTCCACTGGGTCTTTGCCCAGCCTTCTCCATCTTCCCTGATGCCCCCTCCCATGCATCCTTCACAGACACTCTCTGAAGTGTCCTTTGGTGGGCTCAGTCACAGTTAGTCACAGTGCTCACTAACATTCACAGACCAAATGTAGTCATATGTGAGACATTGCCAGATGCCATGGGAAAATCAAATTATGTTCTGTATTTTTCCCCATGTGTCACTCCAGGAACCCTGTTGAAAAAGAAAATCATTTAAATCCTCCATGACTTACAGTTAGAAAATCCATGCTATGCTTTTGTAACTCTAAACAAGCATTTGGATAAATCACTCTCATCCCTTCCATAGGTACAATCTGTAGCTTGTAGGATCAAAGACTGGTGGCCCTCTCCGTTTTGTAGATACAAGCTCAGGCTAGTTCAAGTCCTCAAAGAAGCAGTCACCAGGAAAGGTTAGACACACAGGCAATTTATTGGGGAAAATGCCACAAAGGATAAAGACAGAGGGAGCAAGAGTAGGAGAAAAGAGCCTTTAGACTGTCGTGGTTGTGGCACCTGTGAGAGGAGAAGGGAATTGAAGAATTGAGTAGGAAGGGCAATTCTGAGATAGTCTCACCAAGCTGATAGGAAGTCCCCAAACAAAGACAGCCTCTTAGAGGAGTCCCAGATCAGCCATATGTGCCTGAACTCAGTCATTGATGGGAGCAGCAGGGGGAAGCACGGCCTCAGCATGCGAAACAGAGCACTCAGAAGTGCAGCAGCTGGAGGCTGCTGGTCCTCTGCAGGAGGTTCTCTTGATGGGAGATATCAGCTGGAGCATCTCCATGGTTGCCACAAACCTCTCTCTTTTCAAAGCAGCACTATCTCCTTTTGAATATTTGAGCATATATGACTTCTGGCCAAATTCTCTCAATAGCTTGGAGTAAAATTTGTCAAGACCAGCAGACTCGGACTCATTTAGAGCTAAGTGTATAAGCCTACACATCCTGATCCCATGCAAAGTCCCAAATGCTCTGAACAAGGCTTAATCTGCAAGGAAGTTTTGAGCCAAGCAGGAAGAAATGGTTGTCCTGCTATTCAGCACTCATCGATCCCATGAATGGCATTTAGCTCAGCCCCTTCCGTCTTGCTCTGCCCCATGTGTCTAGGATTGTAAATGAATAGTTAGCTAAATTTTAATGCTAGTGGTAAATGTTGATTTAACACGAGCAACCCAGTGCTAAATGTTGATCTCTTCTGAGCCGCTGATTGCAGATGTTTTTGCTGCATCATTGGGCTTTGGCATATAACCAACTCCAGGCATTTCAGGCAATGCCTTTGACTGATCTGGAGCTTTCTGTCTCATTCAGTGAATCATTCCTTCATTTTTCCACCCCCTGCACATTTCTTGTTAAGAGATGTTCGTGTTCGCTGCAGTTGGCAGGTTGAGTGGAGAGCCTCAGACTGCTCTTTTAACAGAGAGTTTCGTTTCTGTCCTGTGGTTTATCAAACAGCTTCACTGGTGCTATAATCAGTTTGCCAAGCTCATCTTTTGTCTCTACTGATGGGCATTTGGCTGCAATTTTTTTTTTTCCAGGAGGGAGTCTTCCTCTGTCTACAGATCAATTTGGACTTGACGTTTAAAGCTAAGACTTCCTTCTATTTCTGAGCAGTTTTGTTGATATCACTTTCTACACTCTGTCAGTTCCAATGCTATTTAGTATCTTTTCTAATTTAGTATTAAGAGTGTTGCAGAAAATATAAACAACCTGGCACTTTTGAGACTTCCGACACTCTGGGGTTAGTTGCAATTTGTCTCTTTTTTTCTTTTTGATAACCAAGGAGCCAGACAGGTTTTATCTTTTCAACATCCTATGCCAGGGCAGACTGAATGCCATGAGTTTTCTCTTCCAGGTGGAGTGACAGAGTTAACTCATTTTTAATTTTTGGTATGAGGATGCACAAACGACTCTTGATTTTATCTCCCAAGAGAAAGCTGAGAGTGGCAGCTTCGATCTCATAGGGAAATCAAGTACTCAGTGTCTGAGGGTTGCTGTGGACAACTCTTCGCTGCTTCCCAAGAGATGAGGTGCAGGTATTAGAATATCATGCCGGCCCAGGCAACGGGAGACGTCCAGAGATGATGTCACTGGATAAAACCGGTCCAGCTCTGAAAAGAATACTTCTTCCTTTGACCATCATCTGCCTTCCGATTACAATCATTATTTAAGGATATAAGTGCTTTACAAACAGCAGTTCATTGTTTCTCAAATCAATTTGTGAGGTAGAAAAGGAAATGGAAGCTTAAAGGCATAATCTCTACAAGGTCTGAGGTGGTGATTTAAAGCAATCGTTGGTGCCCCTCAACTTCCTTCAGAGAAATTTGATCATTTCGCTTAATGTTTGTTTTCACCTTTCTTTTTACACAGTCTTATTTTTAATTAGGTACCAGTAGCCTGGCATACGGAATCAAAGAGAAGTGTATCACTGCAAAAATACAGGGATAATGAATCACACAGTACAGAAGGCCTTCCATTGTGTGCACACTTTTCTTCTGCTGGCGATTTTATTCTGTTTATTTATAACAAGGGGAAAGTGCTTTTTCCATTTCCTTTGGATACATTATATATTTGTTCTCCTATTTTTTTTTCAGGTAAAATTGGTTTATAAAATTATATAAATTTCAGGTTACATCATTATATTTCGACTTCTGTATAGACAACATTGTATTCACCACCAGAAGTCTAGTTGCCATCTGTCACTATACACATGTGCCCATTACTCCTTTTGCTCTCCCCCCCATTTAGCCTCTGATTTGAAAAGATATCTGTACCCCTATGTTCGCTGCAGCATTATTCACAAGAGTCAAGACTCGGACACAACCAAAGTGTCCATTAACGGAAGAATGAATAAAGAAGATGCGGTATATATGATATATTTGTTCCATTGCATGTTCTGCCTGCTTTTCCTGGGGACGATGTTTGCTGTTTATGTCTTTGTTTCTTGCCTTCCTTCAGTGTGGCCACTTAGCACACTGCCACATTTCAGGACAGGAGGAAACAAAAAGGCAGTCTTTCTCTTCTCCTTGACCTTGAGGTTTGATAATTAAGGGAGCTTCTTGTGCTGTGTCCCCACATGGCAACAAGAGCGCTATGAATACCTAGAACCACTTTCAGTTCAATTCCATTAAGTAAAAATTTATGGAAAGTAGTTCCATGGAGTTATAGGGACATGCTTTTTTATGATTATTATTATTGATTGTAATAGGTTTCAGTAGCATTCTAAACCTGGTATCTACAGTCCATTGTGAGGATGGAGAAGATACCTGCAACCTTGAACATAGCTATTAGTTTTCCTATCATTTGTCCTTGAAGTATGAGCCTTGGGAAGTCTCTTCTAACTATTTTATGTGCACTGAAGTAGATTTTAATTTTTCACGGTGGTTTTACCTCCTAAAAGCTATAGTTTAATTTTTTAGGATTATATCTTCTTTAGGTTATATTCTCAATGCCCTAGAGATTAAAGTGGGAACAGGTTTGAATAGCATACACCAAATTCTGACAACATAGGTCAGACAAAGAGCTGCAGGAAAAGAATTTTCAGGCTGGAGGTTTTTATAAAAACATTCCATAAGAAGAGAGGAAATAATCAGAATTTATCTATGAGCATTTATTCTTTACTCTCCCAGTTTAATATAGAATACCTTTTTTAGATCAAAACCAAATTAATATAGAATACTTTTTGTAGATCAAAAATGGCAATAATGCTTTTGGGAAGACAAACATTCTTTGATGTAATCCCTTGCAATAGACTAAACTACTGAATTAGAACAATCAGGAAATAATAACTGATGTCCCACAATATCCCCAAAGAGGAAAATTAGTGTAACTGGGTTCTCTTAACTGACACATTACACTAATGAGAATACCTATTTGCCAGGGGCCACTCAGGATCTGTCAGCAGTGGTTTCAGAGAGCACAAGGGAGAACAGTAGCTGCAGCAGCAAGGTAGAAAATGAGTGTGGAGCCGAAGTGCCAGACCACGAAACGGAGTCTTCCAGGTCTGCACCTGCTTCAGGGGCTGTTGACAGAGCCCCTGATGGATGTGTGGAGGAGTAGGTTCTGCCACTGGGTGACCTGTGTCAGAGTGGGAAGTCCTAGGAGGTGGAAAAGAGCATCATGCCTGGGCTGGTGAGGCTCACGAAGAGGCAAAAATGGAGAAATCACCTCTACTGGCTCCATTCTCCATACTGCTGGCGGTCTGGGACCTTAAGCCCCGCTGTGATTCCAGGATGAAGTCAGCCTAATTCACAGGGTTCCGTATGTTACTTCTTTTGCAGGTGTAACTGGAAGAAAGGAAGTGTGAAATCAACAAGACGAAGAGAGAGTTTCACACTTCAATCCTCAAATCCTCGGCCTCTATACCACATAATGCCTCTGGGTCAAATCTCAGCAAACTGATAAATTGCCTTCCTTACTTCCATGACTGGGCACCACTCTGTCCCTGCTCTTCTCATTCAACTACATACCACCTAATAAGGAGATGGGGAATAAGCAAGGGGCCACCAGGAGGGTTCATAGTAGGAGAGGAAAGGAGAATTAGACAGTGGTGCAGAGAAGTGGCTGTGACCCTGAAGGTAATGACAGACCACTATTTTCCCTGATTCCTACCTTGCACGAACCTTTCCATGAGGATGTGTGTATTGTTTATATATATTTTTAATTTTCTGTATATCATAATGTTTCTGCATTTTAAAACCTTTCTGGCTAGGGAGAGACTGCCCCTTCTGTAGCTAAAGGACCGAGCCCAAAGCATGCCTTTGATTTGCAAATTAACCAATCTGAATTTGGATTTGGAACCAATCAAATTAACCAATATCAGCCCCGTGCACTCCAGGAGGCAATATGCCTTTGCCTTAATCATCCCAGGGCCAGGTACCAGGCAACTAGGGACCACCCATACAGCTGGGAGCCCACTGAAATCATTCAAACTAGTCAGTCCTAAACTCTTTACCCTGCCACGCCTTGCCTTTCCCTTGGAACCCCCAATAAAGGGTCTAGCCTCAGCTTTCCCATCACTCTGCTCCTGCTTTCTGCCTCCTCACTACCCTGAGTCTTCCCCAGGTGGCTCCGTATTGTGTGCCAGGGACCTGTGAGTATAATAAACTTTGTTTTCCCAAATCTCTCCTGTGTCTCCTCTTGTGGCCACACCTGACTGACCATCACATAAAAGAACACAGAACAGCATGAAATGTTTTAAGTGTGCTCTGGACTATTCAGAAATATCCAGAGAATCAATGACAAGGGACACAAAAGTGGATTTTCTTTTAATATGGGGATTTTTCAGCTGTCCTTTTCATTTTATTGAACTCACATACCTGTCCAAGCACTGTCCTTGGCCCTTGGGGATACAGGAATGGAGAAGTCATGGCTCTATCCTTTAAGGAGCACACAGTCAACTGGATAAGATACTTAGAAACAAATAAACACCCTTTGGGCATCTGGTGCTGTATGAGAGGTGGAGAATGTTGGGGGCCCAAGAAGGGAGAGGTCATGTCCCCTTGAGCATCAGAGAAGGTTGTGTGAAAGAAAGCATTCTTGTTTAGTCACCAAGTACTTTACCTTTTAAACCATTTGTATTGACGAATGTCAAAGATAAGAGGCTATATGTATGAATTTCCAGGAAAAGTCAAGCATTTTGAAGAAGTTTCCTGAAGAAACGTTTTCTCAAGCTAAAGGATTTCAGAACTGATATGCTCAGGTAGTAAACCTGGGTGCTGAATAAAAGGCTTTAAAACCCCTATATTCTCAATGGACATAAAACTTAAGAAATTTCAGATCTCTTATTATAGATCATATTTTTAAGTTTTACTCTACTCCTGCAAAAAATATTCAACCTAATGAAGAAAAAATTATTATCCTTATCTGTACACAATAATTTCATTCACTTTATAATATAAATTCTGATTTATGTTTGTATAGTTTAAAAAAAGAGGGAGAGGGGCCAGCCCCGTGGCCAAGTGGTTAAAGCTCCACATTCTGCTTGGGAGGCCTGGGGTTTGCGGGTTTGAATCCCAGGCACAGACCTACTCCACTCATCAGCCATGCTGTGGAGGCATCCCACATACGAAATAGAGGAAGACTGGCACAGATGTTAGCTCAGCAACAACCTTCCTCAAGGAAAAAAATAAAAAAGAAGAGGATTGGCAATGGTTGTTAGCTCAGGGCAATCTTCCTCACCAAAAGAAAAACAGAAAGAAAGAAAGAAAAGAAAAGAGGGAGGATGAGAGAATCAGGAATTGCCAACCATATTAGAAGAAAAAGGATTAGCAAATATACTCTTGATCAGTGAGTCCCTGGTAGCATCAAAGACATCTATTATTGATCTTGTAATTTTAAAACATGTAACATGCACAGAATATGAGACTGTTTTTTATTACGTGATTCATGAAAATTAAGCTCATTGTTTTATGATTCCTACAAATAAAAAGTCAGGTAATGAATCTTTTCTAACTCCATCTCCTAGGAAAGTGCTTGTGGGCAGCATAGACTGGGAGAGGTGGGCATTGCTGCTTAGCCAAACTCATCTTGCAAAGAACACAGCATGTGTGTGCCATCTGTACCAAGAGATGGTGCACAGCCTGGCTAAACAACTCCTTCATTTAATTCTCTTTCCTTTTCATCCATCTGTAAGACAATAAAGGAAATTAAAATCAGTGATGGATTGTGTTTGAGTGCATTATCATCAAGACTGAATATACAAACAATGCACCAAATGAGAAGCTATTTAATCACATTCTTTTTTTCTGTGTATCTCACTCGGTATATCATGGGCCAACTGACTGACATTTATTTTATTCAAAATAGGAAAAGAAATTCATTTACCCCATTTGAGTGTTTCTCCTATGTTAAAAGAACATTCTATTTTCTTTGAAAATTTATATTTAGGAAAATATAAGAAAATCTTTATTTAGTAAATGGAAAGCATTATCATATAACCCCTTTGATAACACCACTACTTCAGTTTTTTTCCTTTAACTGTTTATTATTAGTTTATTGATTTTAGTTCATAGAAATCTTGGGTGTAAATTCTGACATTTCAAAAATGGCAGGAAATTAATTTTCTGCATTAGAAAGGGCATAAAGGTGCTATTTCTTTTATTGAATCAGATTATCTTAGTGCCTTAGATTTTATTTGGGAATTAGTTTGGTACTCCTAAAATAGAAAAAAAAAGTGATCCAAAGTCTTTTAACGATCGAATTTCATTCCAAGGATAAGCTTATGCCCTGGGATAATTGGTTCATCTATTGCCTTTTATTTGGGTAGTTACTCATGTGATCATAAAAATATTTGCTATTTCTAAAAGGGTTATAGTACCCACAGTGAATAAAAGGAGCTGATCTTATACAGCAGGTGGGTGTACAAATTGCAAGATGAATCTGCAGGAAAATTTGAGATTGTTTTATAAAAATGGTCTTCTCTGCCTCCTTTGAGTATTTGTGACTTGATACTGAAATGCTATTGATTTATTCAGTTAATAGGAATTTACAGATTGATTGATTTCAGGGAAGGGAGAACTCCAACTTCTCAGCGTATGCAGTTTCTCTAAGGTGGGTTATGGTTACTCATGAAAGACAGTGATATACTGATGCAACAGCATTTCCCGGAATCCATAGCACTGTCACTTTTCTAACCATCTACCTAACAGCTTTGTGTGAGAAGAGAGTGCTGTGACAGGGCTAGAGCTGTGGATTTTGGTCAGTACTCAAGTATGTTACACTATCCCAAGTCAGAGAAGAGTGAAAAGTAGGATTTAAACACTGCCACTGCCTTACACTCAGAATGCTACCCTGGGCAAGTTATTTAGCCTGCCTGGGCTCCAGTTTTCCAATCTATGGAATAAGAATAATATGCCTTCAGCCTTTACACAACTTCAGCCCTGTAGTCATATGTTACGGGAAATACTGCTCCAATGCTGGTGGAGTGCCTTCTACTCAGGGCTGACAATCCCACCCTGATAGTTTAAATTGATGGGTGAGGGTGACATATTTGATCAAAATGCCAAATGAGGCATCCTTATTGTCCAAGAATTTACACACTCCGAGAAAGTTAAGCAGAGCCACCTGGATGCACAGCAACACAGGGTGTAACACCTTGATTTATGGATTCATAGATATTTTAGTATCATGTTACTTTACTGAGCAGACTGTCCACAGGTGGACTCTAACAAATTTATATCCTGTGAGAGTCTCGCTGGAGGAGAGAGACATACAGTTTTCCAAAAGTGGGTGTGGCTTGAGTCAAAAAGTTGGAGTGATTTCATTAGGTAAATTACTGTGGCAATGCATTTCCTTCAGGGCAAAATTGATATTAAGTAGGAGGACCTGAACAGGCCTGGTGCTATGTTCTGAATGTTTGTGTCCCCTCCAAATTCATATGTTGAAATCCTAAAGCCCAATGTCACGGTATTAGGAGATGGGGCCTTTCGGAGGTGCTCAGGTCATGAGGGTGGAGCTCTCAGGAATGGGATTAGGGATTACTCTTCTTATAAAAGAAGCTCCAGAGAGATCTCTTGCCTCTTCCACCATGTGAGGACTCAGCGAGAAGACGGCAGTCTATGAACAAGGAAGTGGGTTGGGCCTTCAACCAGCCACACACCCGGATCTGCCCGCACTGTGATCCTGGACTTTCAGCCTCCAGATCTGTGAGAAATAAGTTTCTGTTGCTTATAAGCTACACAGTCTGAGTATTTTGTTACAGCAGCCCAAACAGACCATGGCAGTTGAAAAACTTGTATCTGCCTTCTTTGGACTCTTCTAGGATGAAGAATGGGTGCCAATAAAGGATACGAAGGACAATAAGAAGCAACACCAAGAGCCTCTAAGTTCAGTACTTTCCTGACTACTGGTGTGTTTGGCATGTGCATACGTTTCTGGGAGGCAAAGCCTGGGTCTGTGTATGAAAAATATTTAAGCCTCTAAGACCAAAATAAATAAAAGGGTTTTTTTTAAGAAGAAAAATCTACGTGTTAGTTTCCATATATTGCAAATTAAAATAATACGCACTGATATTAGGATAAGCAAATATAAGATAATATAAAAAGATAACATAAAAATGAAAAAAGCTCCTGCGTTAAATTTGTTAAAATCATTCTTCCCATCTTCTAATTTTTCTTTATTAAAACACTCAAAGTAAATATTTAGCATTTTTGCTTCAGATCCTTCATTTATAAGAAATAAATCTTACAAATATAATTGAACTCCTATTCCCATCCCATTTCCCAAATATCCCAATGTTTGTGTGTGTCCAGGTATGTGTGTAGCTGTAAACAATCTGTTACTACAT